CCCCATCCCTGGAACTGAGTGTTGAGATAACCTCTCCTAAAATGTATGACAGAGAAAGGCTGTAAGCCACTTTCCTCCAAAGTGGCAGTGTTCTTGAGGAGAGAAAGGGAATCAACTTCAAAGACATAATGAAAAAAGTATTTCAGGATAGATTTTTTTAAAATGGCCGTGAGTGTTACATGCATATACGTATACACATGATGGTAATATGAGACTAATAAAAACTCAAATTTTGAAGAAAATTATATATGCTTGCTCTTGTTTCCCAATGGAAAAGGCTTACTGAACTTCATAACTTTAGTTAACTAAAACCTTTAATAACACTTATAAGCAGATGTTAAGCTAAGTTATATTCCTGTGTAATTTGAGGTCTAAATTTGGTCCTGTACATGTTTTAGTCATTCAATCCCATGTCTGTCAGTGTCACTCCCAAATTATTAATGTTGAAATGAGTAGACACAGCATGCAAGAATCTGATGGCCAGAGATAATCTTGGTACCAACTTCCTACTTTTTGGGGGGTTGAGTAGATGCAAGTAAGAATTATTGATTTTCAGTCTCCTAACTCTACAGTAAAGTGGAAATGTAGAGATGATGGTGATGATGGTGGGGTTGTCTGTGTTGTCTCTCTTGACTATGATCCCCATCTTTTAGGTTAGGGCTGCTGAGCAGGGAGCATGTGTTTCTTATGTAGTAATAGATAGATTGAATCATAGATAAAAAATTCAATCCTGTCATTACCTTTTCACCAACCACCAAGTACATCCTACTGAGTACTTGAGAACATTTCTTTTATGACTTTTTCATCCTCATTGGGAGAAAAATCTTAAGCACGCAAAATTTCTCCAAGCTTCTGAGTTGATTCCAAACATTTTTAGTCTAAAGGTCATCAGTAAATTTTGAGCATATGTCATTTGATATATGTAAATTTTTAGTTATAAATAGAACACATACATTCATATCTTTAGTGGTGAGGAGGACCGGCTGTGGATACAAGCTGCCTAGATTTGAATTCTAGATCTGTTATTGCCCAGCTGTGTGATTCTGAGCAAGGTATTTCATAAATCTCTATCTCAGTTTCTCATTTAAAAAGGATAGAAACAATACTATGTGCCAGACAGAGTTGTTATGCAAAATGAATATATATAGAGAGAGTTTAGGCCCATTATCATTATTGTTATCATTGTTACCATATTATTCTTTTACTACCATGTCATGTACATTATAAGCATAAATAACATAGATGAGATCTAGAAAATGCCTAAATATAAGTTCTATTTTTTATATTACAACTGTAAGATATTTTAGTGTAGAAAACATAGAAGACAGATTATTTTGTAATAGCACCTATTTTACAATGTTAAAGTCTGGAATTAAAATGTAGAATTTCTAATATGCTCATGCCACACTTTAATGGAACTTCTCTTGTATTCACTATCCATTATTTCTGCATTATTTGCTGGAACACACCTGCATGGTCTTATTGGTTGTAGAACAATTGCCATCTTCTTAATAACAAAATAGCACAACCATTGTTAAGAAACTTCTAAAGATTTCTGACCTTGCTTCGCTGATGTCAAACTTACTCTAGTGTGGGCCGTTATATCCATGCCCCTGAAAAACCCAGCTATTGTAATCTTTCACCGACCTATGTCCCCTGTAAATGAGTCACAGTAGTCCCCTCCAAGTTTTTTATTATAACTTCACAATGGCCAGAACATTAAGAGGAGGCTCTCTTGTGAATTCCCTACTCAAAGTCAATATTGATCCTTTCCTGATCTGGCCCTAAATGGATCTGTTTCTAACCAGAAAGCCATGCCAGAAAACACTGTGGCTAGATACTATGCTGATATCCCTGTACACTTCCTTTCCTTATGCTCTATCAGAAGATGAAATAGCCGAGACTTTTGTTAGCATTCACCATGGCATAGATTCATTTCTCAGAAGGAAAAAAAAAGACACTTTTATGTTATATGTGGCATTAATGTCATCCTTCATAATTCAGCTCAATTTAAGTTGAACTCCAGAGAAAAACAGTAAGTAAGGAACAGCTCCAGAAGCAAGTCTGGATGGTGCAGCCAAACCCCAGGTTCCAATGTTTTGTGGTCTGTAAAAACTTAAAGCTCAGAAGCAACATTTTCTTTCTTTCTTTCTTTCTTTCTTTCTTTCTTTCTTTCTTTCTTTCTTTCTTTTTTAAGTAAAATAAGATTTATGGTATGGACTCTAGCTTCTGGACTAGAAAGCTCAAATGAGAAGATGTACATGTATGAAAATTAAATGTTATTTGCTGTTTCCTTTATTAAAGAAGAAGGCACTCTGACTTTTTAGACCACACATTTTGTGTTTAGCAGTTAGAATTTCTTATTGTCATTTTCACTTTACATGCTTGCCTCTCCGTGTATATTTTGAACCTATGTACACAGATGATGTTTCCTGGCCTGAGAAAATCAGTCACTTCATAGATACTTGTTCTGTGATTGGATGTAAATGAAAGCTCCTCAGAATCACGACTAGCTCTTCATAAGTAGCCCTATCCATTATTTTGCAGGAGTTAAATTGAGAAAACAAATAAATTTGACTTAAAACAAATTAAATTTACCATATGGTAAAGTCCTCAGTCTTTTATATGTCTTCTGATAGTTTAATACTCACAGAATTCTTACTGTTTTATGTAATTTTATAACTACTATATACAAGTCAACCCAGTAGCTCATCCTTCCAAAACTAGCACCAACATTTGATAATATGTGTTAGTATCTGCAATTCCTTTGATTATTTTCCCTTACTCTTCTTGTAACCTTTTGTCCTCCAAAATCTCTTGGCTAGATTTTACCAGGTTCAGTGAGTTCCTAGAAGAGGTAAATACTTGAAATCCTGGGAATTGCTGGCATTATAGCTTTCAAAGGCATATTTGCTATTTCTGATGGAATCCATTCTATCTGCCCTAATACAAGCTTCCTGGATTGCTATATTACTGAACATTCTGTGTCATTCTTTAGTGGAGATCTTCTAGTATGAATCACAGGATTTGGGTTGAAAAACCCTTACAAGGAGGAAAACAGGCTAAGGCAGGAGGTCCTGTGCCTATGCAGACCCCTCTGGACTGCAGGTGACTGATCTTGAGGAGAGTGTCTGCCTACCAAAGAGAGCCCAAGAAAGAAAATAGCATATGAACCGGGGCTGGGGGGGGGAGGGGCGAGGGCAGGGGAGTGAGCAAGACATGGGGAATTGCTGGGCAGCATGGGCATTCCTTCCAGATGGTGACTAAAATGTTGAGTGGCGCGGACATGCTTACTCACTCCCCCCAGTTTCTAAGGACTTAGCCCATAACTAGTGGGAGTGTAAGTGACCACTTTCCCACTGAGACCCACCCACTGCCCCTCTCTATTGTCCCTAACTCCTATCCTTAACTGAGGACACAGGGAAAGATAAAAGAGACCTTCTTTTCCTTCCTTCCATTGAGGCACTGGGTTAGGCAGGGCCAGTGGTAGCCAAGGACAGTTACCATGTAAGTCTTGAGTGCTCAGTGTTTGAGAAAGGTAGATGGCCCCAGGACAGCAGCGACGTGCAATAGGCAGGTGGCCTGAGCCCCGGGTCAAGAATATGAGACTGAGGTCTGTGGTCCAAGGTCCTCACATTGTGGGGTCGGGTAATGGGAATAGAAAGAAGGATAGAGACAAACAGGACCAAGGCGAGTGCAGGGAGGGGCCTCGGGCTCAGAGCTTGTTGGTTTTCTACCACTTGCAGGTATGTTCATATTGGAAGCTACTTTCTTCACCAGCTCACTCTTTTTTTTAATTCAAAATTTTATTTTTAAGCATACACACACACACATTTTTAAGTACATGTATGATATATTTTATGTATATGGGTTAGGTAGCTAATTAGGTAGTTAATTGATAAGCCTTCTACTGTCAACTTTTCCTGGCGAATTCAATCCCCTTCCCCAAAAAGAACATCAGAAAGATCCTCTGTTCTTTCCAGCTTGAGATTCTTTTCACTGGCTAAATATAGGAGACAGGGTACGTCCAGAGGTAGAGAGAGGTTCTGAGCCATGAGGGGAGGCAGGTTCTTCTCCTGGTCTTTTGTGAGGCTGCTAAGCATCTTGTAAGGATAGCTATAGTATGTAGATAGGAAGTGGTGGATACAGGATTTTAAAATACATTTTCCAAATCTGAGACCTTTGCTCTTTTAACAGAAGAGTTATGGCATTTGCAAAGGTACTAGCATATGGTGGGATAGAGATGTGTGTTGGATTAAAACTGAATAATAGAAAGAATGAATGCTATTATGTTAGTCTGCTGAGGCTGCCATAACAAGAGGCTGCCATAGGGTAAGCCACAGACTGGGTGGCTTAAACAGCAGAAATGTATTTTCGTACCATTCTGAGGGCAAGAAGTCTGAGATTAAGATGCTGGGAGACTTGGTTTCTTGTGGGGGGTCTTTCTGGTTTGCAGATGGTATTCATCTCCGTGGATCCTCATATGACCTTTACTCTGTGTGGGCATGCAGAGAGAGAGAGATCTGGTATTTCTTCTTCTTATCAGGATGCCTATTGTATGGGGTTAGGGCCCTACATTTACAACCTCATTTTACCTTAATTACCTTCCTAAAGGCTTTGTTTCCAAATACAGCCACAAAGTGGGAGGGAGTTGATTAGAGCTTCAACATAGGAATTTTGGGGAAATACAGTTCAATATGGAATAACTAGAAACATAACTGATTTATTATGTCAAAGTATATTCAGGGACTGGAGCTGGAATTTTGCAACTAGATATTTTGGTCCACTGAAGAATTTACTACATACTAATTAATCCAGAACACACTATTTTCTGAAGCTTAATCAAAGGTCATGGAGTATTTTTAACTTGAATTCTAAATATATTTCACAAAGTTTTTGTTGTTGTTGTTGTTGTTCTCTACAATGAATGAAAGATGCTTAAAGGGAAAAGGGATGCTATAGAATTTACTAAAAAGAGTGGCCTTTCTTTCATTTTATAGGCCCAACAACTTACTGATCTGGAACAAAAATTAGCCGTGGCCAAAAATGAGCTGGAGAAAGCGGCTCTTGACCGGGTAAGTTAACATCTCTGAATCCTCCTAATTGCAGTTTTAGCGCACAAAGCTAGGGTAGACCCATTGCTTCACTTGATTTATTGATGCATTTCCAGATGCTGTACCTGGAAGGTGGGTGTAGAATTCATGAGTGTTTGACACTCCCTTTGGAACCCAAATCTTTCCTCTCTTTTGCTGCTACAGTAAATTGACTCAAGGTTCAGCCTTGTGAGTTCGTGACTTTTCATTTTCCACCTTACCGGTACATTTGTTCTCTAACACCATGAATAAACATGTTTTAAAGCACCAGCAAAGATGCCATGTATTAACTCTGGGTGAATGAGTTAGGAAACAAATCGAAGTAGTCATTGACACTTTTAATTTTAGAAATCGTAAATCAGAATTCTGGAGGGAGAATCAGAGAAGAAGGAGGTAGCCCTCCTAACCAGCTCTATTCATATAAAGATAACGCAGGAGAGAATGACATAAATCCCTCTTTATAACAGCTTTCCTTAAGTATAATTCACATAGTATAAAAGTCACATTTTAAAAATTCACAAAGTTGTGCTACCATCACCACTAATTCCAAAAGATTTTCTTCAATGCTTTTTACCTCCTCTCTTTCATTTTGGTTTTTATTAATGTCTCATTGTGTTACAAATGTGCATGCTCAGGATAAACCACAACTCCTGCTTGATGCCAACCTTTGCCCTTTCAGTGTTCTTCATGTGAGGCATACGTAGAGAATAGGCAATTGGCATATGGAAAGGGAGATAGAAAGGGATTAATTGATTATATAATTAGAATTATTGTTCTGCTTAATCTTTATGGAATGTGGCAAAATTTCGTAATGCCTGTCATTCTTTCTTTTTTATTTTTAAATCATGTCTATGAAATAATAGGAAATAAACATTTCTCTATACTTTCGTTCACTCAGAACAAAAGGTAGAGTGACTTTAATCTCTTTATTTACTCACACCCATTTATCAAACATCCAGTGTCATTTTCTGTAATACTGAGAACATATATCTAGCACATATTAATACAGGAAACTGAATCTGAGAAATCAATCATAGTATTTCAGACTTGAGAAGACAAACACCACATTATTCTCAATCAGAAGCATGGAAAGTCTGTGCCAAAGGAACAGGGCCATCCAGGAGTAATCTTCATTTTAGTAAGCCTTCAATGCATCACCTGACTAAGATCAGTTCTTCATTAGGTTGGTGTTAGCAGCCATCATCCTGCCTAACACTGGAAAGGCAGACCCTCTCATGTGGAAGATAACCTCTGGGGAATTTTTGGTTCATTTCTACACAGTGTTTGACATGTAATAAAAGTATTTCTAGACGTGTGGAGAGGGAATACAATCTGATCAGAGTACAAAAAGAAACCAAGGAAAGCGTCACTGAAGCTGATTCAGACACTCGAATGAGGAAACAAATATTTCATGAAGACGGGTGTGTGTGTGTGTGTGTGAGTAGAGAAAGTAGACAAAGAGATAAAGCATAACATTTTTCACTGGACTTGGAATCTATTAAAAACATCAAGTAGACATTGTAGAATTAGAACAAAATGATGCATGTAATTGAGACTTTAACTTTGATCAGTTGCAGATTGGGTGAGTGGACATAATAGAACTGAAGACAAGTAAAATGTACAGAAAATTAATATCAATTACCTAGACTAATATAGAAAAAGTACAAATAAATGGAAAATAAACAGAGAATGAGAAATGTGTATCAATTTTTAAAATTTTAAAGTATTTATACTTGTTCCAAAAGGAATAAAAAACAGAAGCAATATTTGTAGAGATAATGACTTAAAATTTTCCAAATGGATAATTATAGATCATTCCAAGAGACAGATAGCATAATCCTAAATCAGTTTGTATACAGCAATGTTCCTTAAAATTGTATATAAATTTTTGAAAGTACAGCTGAAATGCATGCACTTTCTTCATTCTGCTATATTTCACTACAATTTATTAACAACAGATGTCTAATTCAGAAAAATGAAAATGTGAATAAAAACAAAGAGATGTCATCTCAACACCATCAGATTGTTACAAATTAAAAAGTCTAATGATCCCATATTCCAATACACTAGTGGTGGTAGTGTAATTATTAAATCAGTTTTTAAATGTATGTATCATAGAATTTGCACTTGTCCCTATGTGCTTGGACACGTGTAAGGACGTGACATACAACAATGTTTGTGTTAATACTAAATTGAAATAACTTAAATGCTTACCATTAGAATTAGCATACATATTTCATATATGTTCCATACTCATATTTTCAAATAGTAATCAAAATTTAATATTAATGAATACATATAAAGACATTTATATCAATATTAATACATCTATAATATATACTGTTGAATAAAAAATTCAGAATTATACATATGGTATTTAACAATTGTTCAAATACACAAATCACATTTGTTTTGGATTATATATAATATAAATAGATGAAGTAGAAAAATATATCAAATTCAAGGACCCAATTGACTTTGGGGAAAGATGGAGTAAAATCACACTAAGAATGCTTAAAATTACTTCTACTGTTTCCCAAGTGTTTCATTTTCCAGTAGTTGTATAGACACAGATAGTCTTTAATTTATACACACACATATAGATATTTTGTGTACATTAGATACATGCATCATATAGTATATACATTATAGATATACATTAGGTTATGTAATATGTGTATATATTACCAATATATATATGCATTTTATCATGTATTTTATAAAAGTATAATAAATATCATATATAACAAATATATAATATGTAATAAACATGATGCTTTTTAACATTTAATTCAGATTGATATTTACCTGATATTTTTTATAATTGTTTTCTTCTCTATATGCCCTATATTTTTCAAAATGTTATTTTAGAAAATGAAGAAAGTGTGCTATCTGCTGTTAAGAGCTTTCCATTTTTGTAATCACAACGTAGCAACCATTTTATTTAAAAAAAATAAGCAAGTAATATGATTATAGACTTGCTTTGCAATACTTTATTGTATACATATAGCAGATGTGTAAAGAAAAGAAGTTGCTTCCTAACCACCAGATTAAACTATGGGTGTTTGGTGTTTTTTTTTTAAGATTTTATTAATTTATTTGACAGAGAGAGAGAGATCTCAAGTAGGCAGAGAAGCAGGCAGAGAGAGGGGGGGAAGCATGCTCCCCGGTGAGCAGAGAGCCCAACGGGGCTCAATCCCAGAACTCTGGGATCATGACCTGAGCTGAAGGCAGAGGCTTAACCCACTGAGCCACCCAGGCGCCCCTGGGTGTTTTGATACAGGAAAGAGGAGATGGAATATTTCAGGTTGATTCATTTTGGAGTTCTTATGGTATCTCCTTGCTATACCGTAGTTGTGAAGGACCAGGCTAAAATTCTACTTCCCAGAGTCTTGGATCTCACATAGGCATTTTCATTAGGACATATGATCAAAACCGCATCATAGCTAACATAAGTAACTTTTCAAACAGGTTATCTAGAAAGTGTTGCAATAACTAATTAGTAAGGTCATTTTGTGAATTCTGATGATACTCTTTCTTAAGGTTTAGATCTTTGGGACAAATGTTTTAAATGAACAACTAGATGTTTTAAGAACTCTGTTCCATTGTGATTGTCTTATTTTTTATTTTTCCAACTATTTAAGGTAGTTTTAAGGAAGCCTGCTTGCCATTTGGTAGAGTAGGCCAAGCATAATTCATCTTACCAAGATTCCAGCTTTATAAGATTTTTTAACTTATAAAAAAGAAATTTATACTAATTTATGTTACTCTCTGACTATATCCAACTTATACTACATAATATTACTTTTTAAAAAGGGACAAGACTCTTTATAGAGTTGGGAGAATCAGAAAATCAGAGATATATATAAATCCTAAAATTCAACTAGACCATCATTCTTTGTTTTGTTTTTGTTTTTGTTTTTGTTTAATCCTTTCTCTAATACCCCTACCACAATCTCTACAAGATGCTTTAAATCCTAGAAAGAATGGGATTCCTGTGATCCCGAGGCAGCCAAGTCTCCTCTGATTTTTTTAGCAACTCTGACTGTGGAATTTTCTTCCTTGCATTTAAACTTTTCCCTCATCTGACTTCAGATAATCCACTTAGTCAGGTTCAAAATGGCTAACTAGGTTTGAAGTGCCATTCATGTGATCACCATGTGGTAGGATCTCTGGGAAACAGAAAACATGTATGATACATGGTCTGGAGATCCACACCTCTCACATTTTGTTGGGCACCCGAAATTATGAAATAATTGCTTGTGGAGTTAGAAGGTTCCAGAAACACAGAAAATGAATGCATTTTATGTACTTGTGGGTTGTACAAACTGGTGTAGTCGCATAATACTGAATGGACAAATTATAATTTGGTCTGAACCACAGAACTCCAGGTTAACATAGTATTTTTCTCCTTTGTCTTACCCATTCTGTGCTTTTCTCCACTCTGTCTCTATTCACTCCCCACCTAGGTGTGCCTAGCCTGCACCGTGCTACAGTCTGGATTTAGCATGAGAGGCTCTATGTGGCAATGTTTCCAGAATCAGTCTGCCTTTCTTCAGTCACTCTTCCACAGAATGACCATGTTCAAATTCCTCAAACTCTTTGTGCATCACTGCAAAATGGAATATTAACAAAACTTACTTTATAAGGGTGGTGAGAAAACTGTGTGCATCCAAAAAAGTAAAGTACTGAGATCTCTTGGCACAGGGAAAGCCCTCGGGAAGCATAGTGATTATTAACATCAATGAATGAGATTGTAGAGACTGCCTGTCAGTGTTAAAAATTTTTCTCTTTAACCTTCAGGATCTTGTCTTTCCTTTTGCTACAGTAAACTATAAAGCATTTCATATTACTAGAGGTCAGTTTCAACAAATCTCTTGTACCATATGTATGAGGCTCATAAACTATAGTCATAAAGGCAGGTAGAAATGCTAGCTCACTTCAAAATGGATAAAAACTACAGTTTAATGAAATTGCTTTCT